AAAAAAAAAAAAAAAAAAAAAAAAAAAAAAAAGAACATCTGCTCACCAACAAAACACCGTAAGGAGAGTGAAAAGACAAGCCTAGAGTGGGAGAAGAGATCCATCAAAGGACTAGTTTTCAAAATATAAAAAAGAGAATTAAGAAGCCTCATAACCCCCAACACACAACCCAATTTTGCCAAAAATGGGTAAAACACTTGAATAGGAACCTTATAAAAGAGGAAATCCAGATTGTCTCTAAACATATGAAAAGGTGTTCAACCTCACTAGTAATCAGGAAAATGAAAATTCCAATCAACAGAGACAGTATCTTTCACCCCAGATTTATAAAGACAAAAACGTTATAAGGCTAAAGTGGTTTGACAATAACCAATGTTAGCAAGAATGCAGAGTGCCAGGAACTCTCAAATATGGCTAACGGGAGTGGAAATAGAAACCACCACTTTGGAAAACAGCTGGGCAGAATCTAAGGATTGAGGCCAAGCAGACTTGGCAGCTCTACTCCTAGGCACGTGCCCCACGGGGTCTTCTGATAAGTCCCAAGATGTCCACTGCAGACTCAAGAGGCCCAAACGGAACAGCCCAAGTGCCCGTTGAAGGTATCTGGAGAAATAAACCGTGGGGGCACAGCCATATGAGCCGTGAGAATGAATGAAGCACAGCTTCACCCAACGGTAGGGACCATGCTGACAAATGCGGCATTGACAGAAGGAAGGATAATACACAAAAGGATTCCGTCCAAGCCCAGAGACAGGCAGGACCGGAACCGTGCTCAGGGCTGCATTCAGGTGCCGAAACTAGACTGAAAGTCCAGGAAATCCGGGTCACAGGAGAATGGTTACCTCCGTGGGAGGTGGAAGGAAGCAGGAGCTATGCTGGTGGCCGGCACACACTCAAGGGGCTTTTGGACTTGGCTGGTGGTCATATGTGGGTGTCTGTTTTAGAATTATTCATGGAACTGTTTAATGTCCTTTTCTAAATGTATGTTCTATTTCACCATAGAAAAGAAAAAAAAATGTCTAGGATAAAATATACAAAAAATGTTTTTCAAAACATTAACTTTTGGTTAATAAATCATGGATATTTTCCTCTTCTTTTTACTTTCCAAAACTTCCAAATTTTCTTAAAAGACTATGTGTTATTATTAAATGGAAAAAAAAAAAAAAGCTTTACTATGAAAAGAAATCCTCCCAACTCTCCAGGCTCGCTCACACCTCACTTCCTCCAGGAAGCCCTCCCTGACCACCTTGTTCTCAGTCCTTTCTCCCCCTTGCTTCCACGGATAGTCAGTTGCTGAACACTTTTCAGGGGTCTGCTCTGGGGCAGGCACTGTGCTAGACGCCGGGGCAACAGAAAAACAAGGCAGTCACGTTCCTGCTTCATGGAGCTCACAGTCTGGCAGGCGAGCCAGGCATTAGGCAGACAATAATGTAATTGCAGGATGGGAAATAAATACTACAAAGAAGCGGTGGTGCTGAAGGTTCTTCTGGAACCTCTTAATAAGCACATGCTGCCTTGCGTGGCTGCCATTTTTTTAGGTCACTTATCTCCTAACCAGATCGTAAGCCTTCCCACCTGATGGTTGCATCACCCCATCACACACACACACACAGGCAATGCCGGGGGCAGAGCTGTGCTCAGCAAGTGTGTGTGTGAGGGACGAGAACCGACCCCCTTTGACCCAGGGATGTGCTGTTTGGGTAGAGAAACATCAGACATGGGTTGAGGATGTTCTGCACCTGTGTTCCCCAGCCGCCCCGCCCTCCCCCGCCCCATTCAGCTTTAATCAGACCAGGGCAGGGAGTCCCCTGCTCCCAGGAAGAGCCGACGGGGTGCATGGCTGGGGCCAAAGCCGCTGTGCTCCCGAAAAGGAGGCGGAGGAGGCTTACTTGGGTTTCTTGACATCCGTCATCTTGGTGTGCTCTCCAAACTCCCGCTTCAGGAACTCCTCCAGGGGCCCTGACTCGTAGGGCCGAGAGCCCCGGAACACCTCATCCTTCATGCGAAAGTACACACCACGCATGTAGGCCATGGACTTGCCTAGGAACAAGGGGGTCGGAGGTGGGGAGAGATGCGAGGGCTGCCCTGACAGGGGGCCTGAGCACAGGAACCAGCGGGGTGCGGGGGGCGGATTTACCAAAGCACCAACCAAGCTGGGGCTCCTGGGACCATCCTCGCAACTTCCCCCACAGGCAGAAACCCCCTTCAGCAGCCCCAAGGCCCGGCACTTAATCTTGTACTCGTAATTTGTATTTTTTCTTTAAAGAAGGGGTCCTGACCGTGTAAAGGCTTATAAATCTAGATCCACCCCATTTGCCGTGGAATAGAAAGACCAGCCCTGTCCCGCGAGAACAGACAGCTTCCAAGGGGCAGGTTGCACCTCACAGTACGGAGAAGCTGCCCAGCACGCCTCAGCCGGCCCAGGGGTGTGCGAGCGGGGGGCTGCGGAGGGGAGGGCTTCTGCCCGCAGGAGAGGTTGAACTAGGCGTCTTCTCAGATCCCTTCCATAGCCCCTGGGCGCCTGAAGACCCTGCTTGGGGGATAAATGCCCCCTGAGGAAGGAGGTGACCCTTTCTGGAGGAGAAACCAGAACCTCTGCCCACTCTGCTCCACGCCCAGACCTTATGCCCAGCCGGGCGGAAGCCAGCCCTGAGCTGGCCCTTCTCTCAGGGAAGACCAGAGAGGGGACACGGGGCCCCAGACGCCAGGGGACAGAAGTCCCAGCAGCTTTTGCCGACATATTTCTCCTCCTCCCAGAGCCCCACGGGACGCTGCTCTAGGTCTGGGCTGCCGGGCCATGGCCTCCTCACACTGGGAACACCTGGATGCCTATGCCTATGCCTCCCCCATGGGACCCGGGGCTCCTTGAGGTGGGGCGTGCACCTGACTCAGCCCTGCATGCCTAGCACCCAGCACAGGCCTGGCCCGAAAGCCTTGATGTCCTGGAGGGGGAGGGTCCTCTCCTGGTGCCTTCAGATCTGCAGGACGAGCTGGAGGGCATTGAACCCAACCCAGGCAGGGATCCCCAGTCAGGGATGCTGAGACAATTCCCGCCGGGTGGTAGCTCGTTTGGAGGGGGCCCCCGACACGCAGCATCACGCAGCCCAGACAGCTCCACAGAGGAGACATTGCTCGAGCCGAGACAAGGCCTACCCGGAAGTCCGTCCAGTAAGCAAAATGCCCCGTCACCTCTGGGAAGTTGTAGTGACAGCAAACTGCGTGGGTTGTCTGTGTCGCTGGGGAGTGCTGGGATGGGCGTCCTTGGGACTCCTAGCCCCAGCAAGCCCTCCAGTGGGCCATGTGACTTGGGGTCACCTCTCCCCCCAGGGCCTCCATTACCCTGTGTGGGTAAAATGAAGTGTGCAGACTAGGGCTCTGGCATTTGTGACCCCACCGAGTCACATTCCTCATTCCTGAGGCCACCAACTCCACCCACACTCAGAATGCTTTTCCTCATTTCCAGCAGTTCTGAGGCCTTGCAGGGGCATGGCAACCGGTATAAAAGTGCTCCCAATGCAAGGTGTCTGCCTTGCAGGGGCATGGCAACCGGTATAAAAATGCTCCCAACGCTGAGAGTGAAACCAGCTCTGTCCTCTGTGGCTGGGTGGGCATCACCCTGGCCCACCCCCCAGCCCTTCCTCCTTCCAGCCTCGGACCCCAACCCCCAGCCACCCCACAAAGGGCCTATGGGCCCTCCCCTCCCCCATGACGTTCTCCACAAAGCTCGGAGAACAAACTCAGCCCCATTTGAGGGCAGGTCTCAGCCCCAACCCGTCTAGCCTCAGCAGCCCAGGGGCTGCCCTCACTGTGCAGGATGGCCAGGGCCAGGATGCCCCCCGTGCTGGTCCCCGCCACCCAGTCAAAGAGGTCCTTGGTGGCGATGCCCGAGGCCTTCTCAATGGCAATGAGGAGCTGGATGATGACGAGGCCTTTCACACCCCCTCCGTCCAGGCAGAGCAGGTGGTCGCGGCTGTGGTGGGGACAGCAGTGGGAGAGAAGAGGGTCCCATTACAGCCGGCACTTTGCATGCCGTGTCCCTGAGCACCTGCCCCATGGCAGCCGCTTGAGCGCGTGGAGACCAAGCCCTGCGGAGCTTGTGTGCTACCGGGGCTTGGGACAGGCGGTAGCGAAGTCAGTACAGGAATAAATACAGGACTTCAGGAGGCGAAAGGTGCAACAGGGAGACAGACACAGGAAGGTGAGGGCAGCAGCGGGCAGGGAAGACTTCCCTGGCCATGTGCCACCTCAACAGATGCCTGGGTCTGTCTCCCCTACTTTGAACAGGGGCTCCCCAAGGCCACTTGGTTTTGGTCAGATCCAGATCCCCAGTCCCAGACCTGACCCGAATCAGGTGCCTGATAAAAGTCTGTTTGAATTAAACAAGGCTGGGGGAAGGGCTGCTCTCCCGCGGCCACAAGGAATGGGCGTCCAAGAAGATCAGGCCCCTCTAGCCAGGTGGGAGCAGCACGTGGGAAGGATCGTCTGTGCGTCAGGAGCCATAAGGAGCTTCCACCAGCATGAACTCACTTAAATGCTCCAAACCCCTTCCAGGTGGACACTCCCTGTCACCCTGTGCATATCTGTGAGGACACGAAGCTCGGAGTCACACAGGTGGATCTGGACCGGGGTCTGTGGACTCCCAGGTCACACACTCTCCAACACATCCTGACCCGTCTCCCTATGGCCAGCCCCTGCCCCGGGAAAGAAGGCCTCTATCGTCTGTGCTCAGACCTGGAACCTTCCTTCCGGTCTCTTCCTCTTCTTTCTATCCCAGCTTAAATGTCACCGCTGACAGAAGCCTGCCCGATGCCATCGGGAAGCTCCCGCTCAGCCAGCCCCTGCCCCACCCACTTCTGTGGTACAGAGCCCTTCTCGCTTCCATCCGCAATTGCTTTTTGTCACTTGTTTGCTGCCTTTCTTCCCCCACTGTGGGCAAGGCCCTGCTCTGCGGGCAGGAGGCGTCCCACAGACACACAGCTGGTAGATGAAGGAGCCTGCGCCGCCGGCCTGTGGGGTGCCTCGTCTTTTCCTGGACAAGCTGCCCAGCCCTGCAGCAAGCCCAGAGCGTGGCAGAGGAGGCGGTGCTGTCGCCGGAGGCCTGCAGGGCCCCTGGCCAGGGAGGCTAGAGCGGAGGCAAGGGACCTTTCTGAAGATGTGGGGCTGGCAATGGAAGGAGCAGGGCTGAGCTGTGTGGCTCACAAATCTGCATGGGGAGGTCCTCACAGGGGTATCCTGACTCTTATCTCAGCCCCACCTCTAGGGAGGGCGCTCAGGCTTGTGCAGACTCCCCAGTCCTGCTGGAGAATCTGCCGCCTCCTTCCTCTTACTGGCGGGGACCTGTCAGTCCTCCCTCTGGTACCCTGCTCGGCCGCTGCGCAGGGGTGTGTGTGTGGGGGGGGGGCGCAGTGGGAGGGAAGGGGGAGACGGCCGATAGAGCAGGTGCACCTTCAGGGCACATGGCACAGGGTGGCCGAGGAAACGGGTGGGCTACAGCAAGGGGAATCCGAGCCTTCTGACGAGGCGAGGCCCAGCCACCGATGTGGCTGCCTGGTCCTGGGAGCTGCTTCTGGAAGAAGAGAGCTTTCCCTGCAGGGGAGGGCACTAGGGGTGCAGCCAGGAGAGAGCCTGCAGGAGCAGAAAGGGCATGGACTTGGAAGCCCTGGGCTGAGTCTGCTCTGACCTTAAGTCACTTAACCTCAAGTTCTGCATTTGCAAAACAAGGTTACTAATGCCTCCCTAGGAAGGCTGTTAGGAACACAGGATAGTAAAAAACAGAGAACAAATAAACCACCTCCAGCATTACAGGGAAGGGTGGAGAGAGCACAGTTGACAGGAAACACGTTTGTCCTGGTAACTCGCTGAGCTGGTGGGCACTGATTCTGACAACCACTGTCACCAGGGACTGTCCTCAGGGACAGGGTTTGGGTTTCTTCTCTTTGTGCCCATCACCCCAGCCTGCCTCCTAGAATGGGCCTGGGTATACGGCAGATACTTGGGGAACCAACCCACCCACTAACTCTTGGAGGGAGGCAGGGTCAGCATCGAGGCAGCTGAGGGCTCTCTCCAGAGGAGAGCTGGGCCATCTTCCCCTGACAGTCCATGACAGGGTCGGAGAGAGAAGGGACAGGGCCGCAGCCAGCTCCACCGTGTGGTCTGGAGCCGGCACAGTGATTGACAGAGAAGCAGGCCCAGCCTCCCTAAAGACTCAGTCTCTTTGCTGTGAACTACAGAGAGTGCGAGCTACCTTGCAGAGCCAGGTACAGACTAGAAAAAGTCCCACACCTGCTGCATGGCACCCGGCAGAGGCCCTGCCCATGAGCCTGCCCCCGACACTTACGTCCGCTTCTCGTCCCTTATGGAGCTCAGGATGAAAGCCGGCTTCCGGGCCCGGGAGATGTGCATGAGGTCCTGCAGTTCTGTGAGGCACAGGGCAGGGTGGGCTGGGGCCAGGCACGTGCCGCTCCCCGCCCCCCCATGGGTCCTGAGGGCAAATCTGGAGCTGTGCCCTTACCCCCCTGTCCCTAGCAGGAGCATCCGCCTCCCACCCCCTGGAAGGGCTCTTCATCCCAGGATACAGCAGGGCCAGAGGCCACAGGCCCCTCAGGGAGCGATGGGCTGGAATGCAGAGGGGAGCCCCACCCTGCCCGGCCAGCTCCCAATTTTCGATTTTCGTGTGTCTTCCTTGCAAAGCCCCGAAGCACAAGCAGCCCCGACGTGCCCTGTGTGTGCAGCTCACAAAGCGTTTCTTCCTGCACAGGAGCCGGTGCTGCTGACAGCCACCGTCACAGAATCATTACCCCCAATTTACAGATGAGACTCAAAGAGGTTATACAACTCGTCCAAGGTCATTTAGCCAAAAGGGCAGAGTTAGGACATTCCTCGGGGTTTAACTCCATGAAGGAATGGAGATATCCCGACCATCTTCCAGATGCCTCTTGCCCTGATCCCAGGTCTGGAAACTTCCTCAGAGGCCTCAGATCGGATGCACCCACCCATAGCATCCATGTTTTCCCCTGAGCCCAAGGCCCATCCCACGCCCACCAAATGGATTAGCTGCCCTCCTGACAAGCAGCCCGGCCCCAGGTCGCCTGGCCCAGCAGTGTCACGTCATCCCGATTCTGACGGGCCCTTCCCACAGCTGTGCACGGAGCCTAGAAGCAGCAAAGCAGGATGGCAGGCTGGCAGGCACTGTGTCTCCCCCTCACCAGGGCAAGTGGCCAGAGTGGACAAGGTAAGTGGGAGATTGGCCAGGAGAGGCGTGGACAGAGCACCAGGGAGCGGGACGTGCAGCTGAGAGAAAGGAGCAGCGGGGGCTAGAGCTGCAGCTAACTTGGGGCACAGCGGGCTCTGCGGCCCCTCTAGGCCCAGGGCATTACCCATCTGACGCCGCGCCCCAGGCCCACCATCCAGCCTGGCTTAGGTGGCTGATTGCCTGTAAAATTGAGAGATAACGATGGGGGGCAGGTCCTGGGTGGGGAGGGGCAGGGGGAGGAGAGAGGCGGAGCCAGAAGGACTAACTGTGGCTGCCAGCTCTGCCCGTCCTGAGCTCCAGGGTTGGCCGGGGTATCCTGGCTGAAGATGCTGGTGTCTGATTCGCCAAGAGTTTAAAAAAAAAAAAAAAAGCACCAGCTTGCCAAGGATCGTTCTCTGACTGCCCTGTTCAGGGAACCCACTCCCAAACAATCCAGGGCCCTGGGTGGGCCAGCCCACAGGAAGCCCAGAGAAGGTCTCCGCCTCCTCAGGGGCTGTCTCCACGGACACCAAGGATGCACGGGGCAGATGCTGGTTGCCTGGCCAGTAGGTCACCAAAGGGGCCGGAAGAGGAGCACACAGGCCCCAGGCCTGACAGAGATTCAGCAGCGTGACCGAAATGCTCCTGGTCATAGCCAGAGGGCCAAGGGCTCTTAGCCACCACCAGCACTCCTCACTGCCCACCCGAGCTCCCAGGGCACAGAGAGGCCAAGAAAGTACTCACCCCATGGGTGTCCAGGGCACCCTCTGGGGGAAATGGGCCGCGGGCCATTGGCCAGGGACCCCAGCAGCCTCTGGGCGCTATGGGTTGCTGGCTGCACCCGAGGCTGACAGATGCTGCCCACCCTCCTTTGCCTCCTTCAACAATTTCTCCCCTGGGGCCCCGTTTCTTTCCCACAGGGACTGCTCTGACCCAAGGGCCTGGGAGCCAGGTAGAGAGGAGGGGAGCTGCCTACCTAGGTTGTTGAAGCTGATCAGTGGGGGCTGAGATCTTTCCAGGGAGGAGGAGTGCGTTGCTGCGGAGCACTGCTCCGCCGAGACCCCCTGGATGAGTGGGGAGTGGTAGTCGGCCCCCACGGTTCTCAGCAGAGTTAGGAGCGCCTTCCTGGTGACGACTTGTCATGTTTGGGGAAGGCGAGATCGCACAGGATCAGAAACTGTCGATGTGCAAGTGAGAGGTCCCTCCCTTCCACACATGGTCCCCTCTCCCAGGCCACCTGGGTATGTGGGGGTCGGGGGTGCCCCAGAGCCCTGATCCCACCCTGACAGGGCGTGCTGGCTCTAGTCTGTTATATCCAAAGCAGCTGCCTGGGGCTGGGGCGGGTCCTGGGAGTCGGACTTGGAACATGGAAGGAGGAGGTCGGTGTTGCCTGGCCCGAGTATTTGAGGAACCCCCGCTTTCCCTTCCACACCAGTCAAGAAAGCAGGACGCCCACCTCCACGTTCAGCAATTCTTGAGGCTTTCAGAGCTCAACAGGAACGAACCAGCCAGTGGGCATTTACTCCCATCTAACGGATGGGATAACTGAAAACGCACATGCACGCACATGCACACACACTTGCTTGCAAACGCTATCAGGTACACACCCACAGCAACCTCCACAGTTCCCCGGAACCTTCCAGAGGGTGCCAGCCTTCTGGTGAGGAGGATCTGCTCTTTCCAGCCCTGAAGCCAAGGCTCACTGAGCCAGCACGCAGCACATGCACGGTGCCTGTGTGCACGAGGGGTGCACACGTGTCATGTAGCACATGTCTGTGTGCACTGGGGGTAACACGTGTCATGCAGCACACGCATTGGCTAGTGGCTGTTCTTGCAAGTGGCTCCATCAGTGAGTTCCCCAAGAGTGGGGAAGAGGGCTGCTGCTGCTGCCTACCCTGTCCCCCACTCCCCAGAGTCCTGGCACCCTGAGGCAGGATGGTGGCTGCACAGAAGAGGACACTGCCTTGGCAAGCCCCCTGGGGCCCCCATCTAGTGGTCAGAGGCGCTGTTCTTGGGAAAAGGAAACTTCCCCTCTGGGCCTCCCACTGCTCCTAGCCACTCTGTGCAGGGAGCAACTGGGGGCAGGTATGGATGGGACGTGGGCAGCTGATGGCTGGGACTTCCCTGCTCCCCAGTCCCTGCACCCCGCACCCACCCCTGCCCAACTCTGGTCCCAGAGTGTAGAGCACATACGTTTGCTATTCTTGGAGGCTAGGAACGCAGGAGTTTCTCCAAAGTCATTCGGGATGTCCACCTCTGCCCCAAACACAATGAGGGCCTTGATCATCTCCACGTTGCCTTTCTGTTGGTGATGGAGTGAAGGGGAAATATGCAACAGCTCAGGGAAATGAAGACAGAAAGGACCCCAGCCTCTTCCCCTCCAATCCATCAACTTGGCGGACCTCTCACCAGCATGGGGAGAGACACTGGAACTGCCCTGACAAACAGGCTTACAAGTATCCCCAGGTGAGAATTTAATAACCCAGGTAGAAAATGGAAGGGATTCACCCAGTCCCCAGCCCCGCCAGCTCCTTCTCTAAAGAAGCAAAACATCTATGACCCCCGACCCAGGAGCCGTGGGACCACTGAAGGGTCAGCTGCTGGTCGCTCGCAGGACCAGCAGGAGAGTGTAAGTGAGGAAAGGCCCCCATCGAGTCCAGGGCCCCGGTTCTGAGGGGGAAACCGAGCACACATCCTCCCTGACGGCAGCCCCCTCCCCAGAGAATGCGCAGTGAACATCTGGAGGCTGGGCAGCGGGGCCGGGCTGGGCGTGGTTTCCCAGCACAAACCAACAGACTGGCTGCCAGGAGACCTGAGCGCTGGGCTTATCACCTCCCTCTCTCGGGGCCTGATTTCCTTGCCTAGAGAATGAAGAGGTGTGTCTAGAAAGCCGTTTTCCAAACAGCTGTTCATGCACCATTAGGATGTATATGGGCACAGGTAAACGTGTGTTTTAACGATTAGTTATGTATTATTTCTTTGGTTACCTTTTATTTGTGGCACTGGTTTACCACCTATGGTGGTAATATAACAGTTCCTTCAAAATAAATTTAAGGTTAGAAGCAAGCCAAATTAAAGCAATGATTGAGTGCATAATTGTAAAAGTGGTTCGTGAATCCGCCAAAAACTGCACACGTGGTATGCAGGTGACTGGAGTATGGGAGCAATGGCCTATGTCAGCAGTTCTCAAAGAACTGTGGACCCCTATGAATACGGAGACCCTTTGGAGGGTTCAAGAGGTTAGAACCATATTCGTGAAAACATCAAGGTGTTGTTTGCATTTGCACTGTGTTAACTTTTGCACCAATGGTGTAAAAACAACTGTGGATAAAACTGCTGGTGCCTTAGCATGAAGCAAGGCAGTGGCACCAAACTAACAGTCATCATGCTTTTCTCCTCTGCCACGCACTCATCGTAAAAAGTAAATTCATTCATTAAACAGCCAGCTTCACTTAAGAGGGCCCTTGATGAAACAGCAAGAAATGTTAATCTTATTATGTTTTGATGCTGGCGTATTCGTTTTCATAAAATGCACAGTATGCACAAGGCACTTCTGTGGCCTAACCACGTATGATGGTTGTCTCAGGAAAAGCACTGCGTGACTGCTTGAGCTGCAAACAGAACGAGCTGCTTTTTTTTGCAAGAGAAACTGTTTTTAGTCGAGAAACAAGTGGCAGACAAACTACAGTTGTTCAGCGTTGGGTATCTAGGAGGTATTTTCTCAAAAATGAATGTGGTGAGCCTATCACTTCAAGAAAAACAGCTGGCAGTATTTTGTGCCAGTGACAAAACTCAAGCTTTCAAACGAGAACTGGAACACTAGAACACTGCTCTATGCCATGATGGGCTTGACAGCTTCCCCAAATTTAAAGACTTTTCTGATGAAATTGTGGTGATATTTACAACTGTGGGGTTTTGAGACTGTATAACAAAATGGGTCAACATTTGGTAGCTAGGCGTACTCAGCAAACCAATATTTTCCAAGAATGACACAAAGTGGTGCAGGGGTAAACGATCCAGGCAAAGTGCAAAAGATGCCAATGGTTTTCTCTGTAACAGAGAATGAAAAGTCCGAGGAGATGATTTCAGAGTGTCCGCTGCAACCAACTTGTCAGAAACTACCCCTTGTCAAGTTTTGGTGCAATACGAAAGAATATCCAGGGGGAATTCCCTGGCGGTCCGGTGGTTGGGACTCCACGCTTTCACTGCTAGGGCCCGAGTTCAATCCCTGGTTGGGGAACTAAGATTCAATCCCTGGTTGGGGAACTAAGATCTCGAGAGCCACGCAGTGTGGCCAAAAGAAAAAGGGGGCTTCCCTGGTGGCGCAGTGATTGAGAGTCCGCCTGCTGATGCAGGGGACACGGGTTCATGCCCCGGTCCGGGAAGATCCCACATGCCGCGGAGTGGCTGGGCCCGTGAGCCATGGCCGCTGAGCCTGCACGTCCGGAGCCCGTGCTCTGCAACTGGAGAGGCTGCAACAGTGAGAGGCCCGCGTACGGCAAAAAAAAAAAAAGAAAAAGAAAGAAGGAAAGAATATCCACAATTATTTGCAAAGGTACAACTACATGTCTTTTCCAACTATGTACATATCTATGTGAGGCCAGAGTTTCTTCATATTTTTAACATATGCAACAATATACTGAATAAATGTAGCAGAAGACAGGAAAATCCATGCCTTCTCTGAAGCCAGGCATTAAAAAGATTCACAAAAATGTAAAACGATGCCAATTGTTTTCCATTATTTTTTGTTTTGGAAAATAAAGTCGATCTTCCATAAAAATGTTACTTATGTTAGCATGGGCTTGGTAAATTATTGTTATTTTTAAATGAATTAATAAGTACCTTGAAAATCCCTCACTTCTAATTTCTAATATGGTAAATATGGATAGATAACATTCAAATAAACAGTCTTTGAGATTCTCAATAATTTTGAAAAGCATAAAAGGATCAAACAGACCAAAAAGTTTAAGAACTGTTCAACTACATAATTCAAAGGGCCCATTCAGTGCTAAAAATGTCCACAGTTTTATTTATAGTTTCAGTCTCTTGGGCAACATCCCCTCTACAATTATGACCTTTGGTATAAAACAGGATGTCTTTGACTTTGTCCTAAATCTCCTTCTTTTAGAGTTCCAGGGGAATCTCCTATTCTAGCACTCCGAGACATGTTGAACAGAATTATGGGCACATATGATTTGCTACAGTTATATACACACATGCGCGCGCGCGCGTGCGTCTATAACGAATAACACTCCCTCCCCTGCATTTAGTATGTTCATGCCGTAGTTGTCTAACCAGACTGTAGGGGCTTTAAGGGCAGGAACTGCGCTCTCTAATAAACCAGCAAAGGTGACCAGCAGCTACCATGGGCCACCAAGATGTGTAAGCAGGCCCGGCCCTCCAGAAGCTTGGCGTCTACCAGGGGGAGAAGGGCAACATGCAGATGAATAGTCCTCCCTGATGATGCAGGGAAGGAGAATGGACGTCTCGGGGATGCTTACTCCCTGCCAGGTCTTACATGTGCTACTTAGACATCCCTCATAGAGTTGCCGGGTGTCTATCACTGAATCCTCTCAACCACTCTGTCAGGGGGGTACCGACACCTCCATTCTCCAGATGGAAGTCAAGGCTGGCAGAGGTGATGTGAGTTGCCCAAGGCCACGGTCAGTAGCCAGAGCTGTATTTTCCCCTCTCACAGCATCCAGATGTCACATGGGGGCATGGGAATGAGAGGTCCTGGAGCACAGAGGAAGGGGCTCTTATTCTGGGCTCAGAGCGGGGCATGCCCCAGCCCTGCTGGTCGCCTGCACCCCTGCCGAGTAGGCAGTTAACCCGGGGCTCACCGACATGGCCAAGTGCAGCGGTGTGTTGCCATGCTCGCCGCGGGCTTCGGCGTTGGCCCCGTGGGTCAGCAGCACCATGACGCAGTCGAAGCGGTTGCGCATGACGGCCACGTGCAGGGCTGTGTTCCCCACGGAGCTGGTGCTGTTCACGTCGCAGCCCCGTTTCAGCAGCAGGCGGGCCATCTGCGGAGACAGGGTCCCGGCCTGAGTCAGCAGGGTGCTCAGAGCAGCTGCGGCCTGTGGCACCTGGTGGCACCTAGGCAGGGCCACTTCCTTCAGGTCTCGGGCCTCTGGAAAGCTCCAGCAATGGGAGGAGCCAAGGTGGCAGGCCCCAGTTCTGGGGGTGGCCCCAGATCTTGCCTCCCACACCTGCCGCACCCCAGGAACTAGGGGACAAAAAGCTGAAGCTGTGGTGACTTTTTCAAAGGGCTTCAGGGTCCTTTCCTGGAGCTCACAGGACCCCATCCCTCCCTGCAAAGGTTCCTCTGGGCCCTGCCCCAGAAATGCCCCACTCCCTGCCACCCTGCCCGGGACCCTGCAAAGGTATGGCCCCATCTGGGCCTTGGCAACACACACCCTTGCTCACCCAACAGCCCCGGAGAGCCTGGACTTTGGACCCTGACAGACCTGAGCCCAAAGCTCAGCCCCACTTCATCCCTGTTGTCTGAGTTTGGAAGGGTCACTGCACCCCTGTGCACCTCAGTTTTCTCTGCTGTGAAAATGGGAATGCAAGTTCCCACCTCAGAGAGTGTGCTGACAAGGAACATGAAAACACAGGAGGGCCTGACTTGGTGTCTAGCTCCTGGTGTGAAGGTATCCACAGTGGTTGTCAGTCTCTTCCCTCCTGGCCTGTCACATTTACGAGTATCCCATCATCTTTGAGGGCATCCAGTGCACTGATAGCTGTGCTTCCTGGAGATAAGTGATCAGAGACCTCCATCCTCCCAGGGGCTCAGAGCTTAGCTCAGGGAGAGGCCTCAGAGGAGATGCTGGCAGGCTCTCTATAGATGAATCTAGAGCCACCATCTTCATCACCATTGGCATCATCACCATCCGTCACCTTCTACTTGCGATGAGGCGCTTGACAATTTATGAAGAATTTTCTCACGCACTGCTTTGCTGACTTCACGATACCTCCACAGGTAGGCCACAGATCCCCAATTCACACATGAGGAAACCACAGAGGGGACACTCACCTGCAATGCCAGGACATCATCCCTCCTTGGGCTTATCTCCTGGGCCCCCAAGTGCCACCCGCAGAGACCTCTCAGGAACCTCCTTCCTATAGGTAGCTAAGGAACAAAGGGCTCTTGGACCCTCCCCCTGCCCCTGCTCACCCTCAGACCTGCCTACCTCTGCGGTCTTGGCCCAGTGGAGGGGGCTGGCTCCGTAGCGAGGGTCTTTGCTGTGGATCTGGCTGCTGTCCATGCTGACAATCATCTCAGCACACCTGCGGAGAGAGAAGCCAGGTGGGAGTGAGGAAGGCCGGCGGGGGCAGCCTGACACTGGAAGAGGCCACGAATCAAGGCTTCATCTACTGGTGAGGCAGAGCCCCTGCAAATACAGTTGCAACAAAACCAACCAGCATGCATACGGTGATACGGCAACCGTATTCTGAGCCCCTCAAGGCACATCTCAAGCCCCCTCCTCCAGGAAGCCTTCCTTGATGACTTCGGTCAGGAATGATCACTCTCACCGGTGCTGGCTGCAGCGTCAGACAGGCTTGAGGTTAAGCCCCAGCTTCCCACTGGTGACCTCTGGAAAGTGGCTGGGCCTGTCTGTAACAGGGGTGCCTGTGACCAGCACACGGCCACCCTCTATCCTCCCCTGCTTCCCAAATGGCTGGTGTTGCAAGTAGTGACTGCGTCCTGTAGGAGGCAGTAGGCAGGGTGGTTACAAGTGCAGTTGCTTTTCCACTCCTAGATCGACAACCTGAAAGCAGGGGCTCAAGAAGATATCTGTATGCCAGTGTTTACTGCAGCATTCCCCACAACAGCCAAAAGATGGACACAACCTAAGTCTCCATGGACATATGAATGGATAAGCAGAATGTGGTATATAAAATGGAGCAATTCTGCCTTAAAAGGGAAGGACCTTTTGATACAGGCTACAACACAAACGAACCTTGAAGACATTATGCTAAGACAAAGTGGGGTCCTGGGCCCAACCCAGCTCTCTGTGAAGCTCGGCTGAGCCAATACCAACAGCAGAGGGGCCCCCAGATTGGGGCTGGGATGGAACCAGTCCCAGTAACCCTAACACTTGTGATTCTTGGAGTATGAATGCGCGGGCTGCCACGTGGTGACAGAGAGATGTGCCCCCTTGGAGCCCTGAGAGGAGCCTGGCTGTGTGCAGGGCACACCTGAGGTATGAGACGACTCGTGTTGTCTCATCTGCAACGATCCACACGGGAGGCCTGGGATGTGGTTGCAGGTGTCTGAGGAGGGAGCAACCTGGGCCACATCGGGATCTTGGAAGTAACCCGGACCAAGAAGGTGACTGAAGCCAGTAGGGTGGCTGGAGTCAAGCTGGAGCGGGGCCACCGTGCCAGCCCTTGGGTATGGGAGAGCATCGCTCATCACGTGAGTTGCAACCTGCAACTCAGTAACTGGGGGTGACTGGCTGGGATTGTCTCCAACCATTTGGTCAAATCTTCCCGAAAGTTCTAGCTCATCTTGGCTGTACGAGGAAGAATCAAGGAAAGGAGGGTTTGTCCAAGCTTGGACCAGACCTTCAAGGGGACATCAATGCCCTCCAGGGGCCAAAAGGTGGGTGCAGACCCCAGAGGAAGGAAAACCCTGAGGGAGGGTGAGCGTGCCTGCCCCCAACCCGAGGGCAGCCCCTCTGAGCTCTTTTCTTGCTGCCCGTCTGCCACATGGCTCTGGAAAGTACTGGGCGACTTCTGTATCCCCTCCTGGGCTTTCTCTCAACCACCTCTGTAAGGCACAGTGCCCGGGACTGAGGGACCACCTGACTCATTCACTCATTCATTCATTCTAGTTACTGTACCTGCTGGGTAGTATTTTGGGATAGTCATCTCTTTTATCCCTCCTACATACACACACACACACACACGCGCGCGCACACGCGCGCACGCGCGCACGTGCACATACTGCACGTGGAGAAGCATTATCCTGAGCCCAGGTTTCCCAGGGCTGTGGGGAGAAAGGAAGAAATGACAGGACATGGGCCTGGCACCTGAGCCCCAGCAGCGCCACCCCCCAGGAAGGAGGGATGCATCAGGCGGATGGGGCCCTGGGCCACCTTGCTAAGAATTCCTAGGTTTCGAGTTGGGCACAGAAGCTGCACCAGCACAGCAGCCATGAAGGGGCTGTTCAGATTAGATGTGGTGGGAGGTTTAAGACTGTTTATCTCCAGTTTGATAGAGGGAGGCTCACGGTCAGAAATTAAGGTACACGACTGAGCAACTTTCAAAGTTCTATTCTCTGCACAGCAGAGTTCATGGACCGAGATTCACACTCCCGCACATTTATCAAATACTTTCTTTGTACCAGGGCAGCCCTTGGCACCAGGATCTGACACGCACCTAATGAGCCTGTGGAGGCCACTGCTCGCCTGGGCAGGGGGACTGGCCGCGGAGACGGGAGGCCCTTCGGATCACGTGGGGCAGGGCAGGGTCTTACCCCTTCTGGGAGAACTTCATGGCCATGTGGATGGGGTAGCCACTGGGCCCCATGATGTTGCAGCGAGCGTTGCAGAGCAGCAGCACACGGACCATCTCCTGCTTCCCCAGCTGGCAGGCCAGGTGCAGCGGGGTCAGCCCTTGGTTATTCACCTGGTTCAGGCCAGCTGATGCGTTCTTCCCTAGGAGCTGACAGCAAGACCTCGGGGTGGGCAGGCGCCAAACACAGCGAGGCCCCTGGCCCGTCCCTCTGCTAACATCCACCGCTGTGGCCGTCCCTCTCTGGGGCCTCAGGGGAAGAGAAGCTGGACTCCACAAGAACACTGACAAGAACTTCAAGAGAAGCCACCAAGAAAGGAGGCTTTGGGGAGAGAAAGAAGCTGACTGTGCCAGTATTGGCTGGGGCGCTGGGCTGGTATGACTGTGGCATGTATGAAAAATTTCTCAATCAGGAAATGTAAAAGAGCTTGTATCTAGGATGGGCACTGGGGGTCTGGGTGGGAATGAGACTTGCTTTCCATTGCATACTCTTCTGTCCTGCCTGAATTTTTCAGCTCCGTGTATTATTTTTTCATTAAACAAAACAAAATTAAACACCAGTATTAATAAAACAGCCATGAGGATTTTATTTCCTCAACTGTGGTTGAAAGCTGTTTCCCTGAGGTTAATTATGACCCCTGTGTACCCCTGTGACCGGCTGGGTCTGTGGACAGGCTAGAGACACAGCAGGTGCTGGCTGAGGTGCTGGCATCCAGGCCCGATTCAAGGGCCAGCCCCACCACTCACAGCTCCGTGGCACCCCTCCCCGGGCACAAAACTTCACTGAACCTCAGTCTCTTTGGCGAAGAGAAGAAGATAATGGCCCCCACCCACAGAGGTTATCTTGAGAATTAACTAGAACACATATAACACTGAGTACAGGGTCAGGCACGGGACCAGCAGTAAAGGACAGCTATTGATAAGAGTGTGTACCCGCCCTCTGAGTCGAGGCAGGTTCTACGTGGTGCTCTACTGAGCACACAGAGGGGTCTCAGTAAGGGCAGAGTTCAACAGTGGGTATAGAATTCCCTTCCCTGAGAGCATTAATCATAAGACAGGAATCCATATTTTCTGGAATAATGTGGTCCCATTCTGATGCCAAGGCACAGAGAAGGATATAACCTTTAGAAGAATCTTCTAATTCTAGGCAATAAAATACTGCCCAGTATTCTGTCTTTTCTATCTGATATATAAGGTAGCCTTTTCATCATTTGATCTACTTGCCTACAGTTTTTATTTTTCTGCCCAGCTAATCAAAAATTTAATGGAAGGAGTGCCTTTGGTGCAAATGCTTACAGGAGCCAGATGGAGTTTTGTTTGTTTTGAGTTACTGTAAAAAGTTAAGCTCAGGTCCTGCTGGACCATGGGTGCCTCCAGGCAAGGGCTGAAATTCACCCAGCCCAGGGGTGAGTGCTCAGGAGAAGCTGAATTAAATTGACTGATGGGACTAGACCTTGAACTCAGTTTGCTGGGTTGGAGGACTTTCCCAGGGTTGTAGGAGCAAAGTGGCGGAGGATGTGTCTCCTTGACAAGCATGGGGAGGCAAGTGCCAGGTGGGGCTACACCCTCCATGAAGGGGCTCAGGCCTCAAGGATCAAGGTGGGGACAGTGAGAGGCCCGGAGGGACACTTGAGCCCAGAGGCCCAAAGACAGCTGCGGCCGTGGTAAGGTGCGGCCAGAATCAGTCGCCCTGTCTCCAGCCCTGCTCACCTGCAGCACTTGGGAATTGTCACTCTGGACAGCGTAATGGAAGGCGGTCTCTCCGTTGTTGTCGGTGACGTCCATCTGGGCGTGGCAGTACTGCACCAGCTCCACCAGGATCTCCCAGTCGCCCTTGCGGCAGGCCAGGTGCAGGGGAGTGCAACCCTCCTCATTCTCCCTGTTGTTGGCGCAGCTGCAGGGGACGGCCCGGGGAGGTGAGGGGTGTGGCACGAGGTGGGCGGGGCACTGAGAAAGCCAAGTGCAGACGCAGGGGAGGTGGGGGAGGAGCCCAAGAGCATTCGTGCCCTGCTCAAGCTGGCTGGTTCAAACTCAGGGCTGAGTCACAATTTACCTGTAACTGATGTGATCTGTATCAGTTTTTAGTTCAGTGTGCACACCTGTATGAGGGATGTGCCCTAGGGCCACACCAGCCTGAAGTGGGCAGTGGGGTGGTATAGAAAGGATCACAGAAGGCAGAAATCTCACCAACCTCGGGCAATTCACTTAACTTTTCTGGGGTTCAATATCCTTGTCTACAAAAAAATAAAAATAATAGCTGCCACGCCTGCCCTAGGAAATCGACTGAACTATTGTGAGATCAAACACCATGGTGTCCGAGATCATGCCGGTGAGCTGTAAAAGGCGGAGAAGATTTCTGAGCTTTGGGCCCGGGAGCTGAACCAAGCTGTCTGAAGCAGAGAACTGGAGGTGTGGCTACCTCAGGGCAGGATGGTGAGCTCGAGTCCTCTGGCTGGCACGGGGCCCTCCCCAGGGGCCTGTTGGCCGAACAGACATACGAGACTAAGTGTTCCAGCATCCAGAAGGGCAACCAGGCCTTTGGAAGGAGACACCAAGGATCTGAAACCTCTTCAGCCCTCTGCAGCGGAGTGACCTTGCACAAGTCACATAACCTCTCACTGGGATGTCACTATCTCATGGGCATGTTGAGAGGATTCACGTTCATGGTGGGTATAAAACAGCTACCAGGCGCCTGGCACCTGGCAGGCACTCCAGAAATGTTACGTTGTTCCTTCTGACTCTAGTCAGCATTCCCCTGCTCTAACCCAGAGGCAATGCTGCCCCTTTTGAAGCCAAACGTTCTGGGCAACCTTTGAGTTTATGGAGGGGAACTGGGGCTGGACTGGACTCCCCATCCACACCCAGTATCCCCAGGGTCCCGCCCTCCTGCCCCACCTGGCCAAGCGCCCCGCCCACCTGATGATGCGGCTGTGATGGAAGCACTCTCGGATCCCCAACTCCACCGCCAGGTGGGCCACTGACCAGCTGGGGTGGTTGCGGATGAGGTCGGTCAGCTGCTGCAGGACCTCAACATGCAGGATGTGGTTGGAGCTCTCGTAGAAGGGCAGCAACTGGGAAGAATACTGCTGGAAGTTCACCAGGGCATCGGCCTCTGTCTCCAGCTGGAAGAGCCTGAGGAGCCAGGGCAGAGGAGGAAGACACAGAAGTGAGCTGGGAGGAACCCTTGGCCCATACCCTTGATGGAATCTGAAGACTTGTGTCCCTGCAAACAGGTGCCTGCCTGCTTCCTGCTGTGGACTGACCTGCTCCAGCTGGACTCCCTCCCGCCCCCCCCCCCGCCACACACACCCCTAAATGGAGTTGGGGCTTTCTTTTTATTTAAAAAGATTTCCTTTCCTTTCTTTCTTTTTTAAAAAATATCATCACGTATATTTCCACAAGCATTGCTGCAAATCCATGGCCCAGCATGAAAGCAAAACTCCCCAGGCATGTGAAGAGATAAGAAAACATGAAAGATGGGACTTCCTTGGTGGTCCAGTGATTAAGAATCCGCCTTCCAATGCAGGGGACACAGGTTCGATCACTGGTCAAGGAACTAAGATCCCACATGCCTCAGGGCAACTAAGCCCATGTACCGCAACTACTGAGCCTGCACGCCACAACTAGACAGCTTGTGCGCTGGAACTACTGAGCCCCCGCACTCTGGAGACTGCACACCGCAACTAGAGAGGAGCCACCGTGCCGCAACTAGAGAGAAGCCCGCACACCACAATGAGGAGCCCGTGCGCCGCGACGGAAGATCACACATGCCGCAACTAAGACCCAGTGCAGCCATAAATAAATAAATAAATAAGTATTTTAAAAAAAGAAAATACGAAGGAAAACCAACAGAGACAATATACAAGAGAAACAGATCTATAACTGGGGGGTCTACAAATACTGAAGTTAGCTGACACAGACTTTAAAATAACTATGACAGTATTAGGATAAAATAGAAGATTTACAATTTTGGCAGAACACTTTAAACTATATAAAAAAAAAGAACCAAGTGGATATTGCAGAATTTAAAGATACAATTGCCAAAATTAAGAGCTCAGTGGTTAGGTATAATAGCAGATTGGACAACGCTGAATAGAAAATTAGCGAAAAGGAAGATAGGTAAGAAAAAAGTAAACAGAATAAAGCATGGAGAGACAAAAGCTTGGAAAATACAGGAAACTAGATAAAAGACATAGAATACATAATGAAAAGATCTAACATACATATAAGTGGAGATACAAAAACAGAAGAGAAAAAGAATTGTACAGAAGCCATATTTGAAGAGTTAATGACTATGAACTTTCCAAAATTGATGGAAAACATTATTCCTTTAATTTAAAATATTCTATAAATCCTCCTCTACACCCCCCACCAAATCCACACTTACATTCCTCCCACTGAGCCACTGAGCAGTGGGAATTTTTGTGTCTTTACCCTTTAACCTGGCTTTGTAACTGCTTTACCAAAAGAATATGGCAGAAGTGATGCCGTCCGAGTTTCTAGAGCAAGGATTTAAGAGACTGGAAGCCTCTATCTCTTTTTTCTTGGGACCCGGCCATCATACCACAGGGAAGCTGAAGCACCATGGAGATGACTCTTGGACCCTTAACCCTGGATAAACTTAACTCCTGGACCCTTAACCCTGGATAAACTCCCAGCCAACAGCCAGTACCAACTTGCCAGTTATGAGTCATCTTAGAAGTGGATCGTGCAGTCAAGCCACCCCAGCTAATACCATGTAGAATCAAACTGAGCCTTTCCCACTAAGCTCTGCTCAAATGGCAGATTTGTGGGCTAAATAACTGATATTGTTTTAAGCCACTAAATTTTGGGAGAGTTTGTTGCATAGCAATAACTGAAAATGACACATATTGGTCAACATATTGTGATGTAGCAATAACTGACACATGTGCCATGTAACAACTGCTGAAAACAAAATGCAAAGAGAAAACATTAAAAATAGCAAAGAGAGGGCTTCCCTGGTGGTGCAGTGGTTGAGAGTCCGCCTGCCGATGCAGGGAACACGGGTTCGTGCCCCGGTCCGGGAAGATCCCACATGCCGCGGAGCGGCTGGGCCCGTGAGCCATGGGCGCTGAGCCTGCGCGTCCAGAGCCTGTTGCTCCGCAACGGGAGAGGCCACAACAGTGAGAGGCCCGCGTACTAAAAAAAAAAAAAAAAAGCAAAGAGAAAAAATGTTTTCAGAGGGCAACCATCAGACTCAACAATGAAGCTCAACAATGGAAGCCAGAGATAATGAGATGACATCCTTAAAGAGCTAAAAGAAAATAAATGCCATTGAGAATTCTACACCCAGAAAAAAAAAAAAAACTTCAAGTATGACGTTGAAATGAAAATATTTCACTCGTCAAACAAACAAATGCACCAGAGAGACAGACTGACTGACTGTGACATTAGCAGACCCAAATAAAAGGATAGACAAAAGGATTTTCTTCTGGTAGAAGAAAGTTGATCCTAGATGGATGGTCAAAGATGCAGGGAAAAAATTAAGCACCATGAAAATGGTAAATATGTGAGTGAATCTAAATAAATATTGACAGTATAATGTCTTGTTGGGTTTAAAATAAAAATATTTTTAAAATATTAATAAAAAACAATACATGGCATAGAAGTCTGGAGTGGGATAAATGGAGTTAAAGGGTTCTAAGACCCTTGTATTGTTCTGGAAGAGGCCAAAGTACCAATTATACTTCAGTAAGGCCAAGGATGTGTGTTACAATCTCTAGGGTTCTATCAAGAACTGTGAAGGGTACCATACGACCCAGCAATCCCACTACTGGGCATATACCCTGAGGAAACCATAATTCAAAAAGAGTCATGTACCAAAATGTTCATTGCAGGTCTATTTACAATAGCCAGGACATGGAAGCAACCTAAGTGTCCATCAACAGATGAATGGATAAAGAAGATGTGGCACATTACTCAGCCATAAAAAGAAAGGAAATTGAGTTATTTGTAGTAAGGTGGATGGACCTAGAGTCTGTCATACAGAGTGAAGTAAGTCAGAAAGAGAAAAACAAATACCATATGCTAACACATACATATGGAATCTAAGGGAAAAAAAATGGTCGTGAAGAACCTAGGGGCAAGAAGGGAATAAAGACACAGACCGACTAGAGAATGGACTCAAGGATATGGGGAGAGGGAAGGGTGAGCTGTGACAAAGTGAGAGAGTGGCATGGACATATATACACTACCAAACGTAAAATAGATAGCTAGTGGGAAGCAGCCGCATAGCACAGGGAGATCAGCTTGGTGCTTTGTGACCACCTAGAGGGGTGGGATAGGGAGGGGGGGAGGGAGGGAGACGCAAGAGGGAAGAGATATGGGAACATATGTATACGTATAACTGATTCACTTTGTTATAAAGCAGAAACTAACACACCATTGTAAAGCAATTATAGTCCAATAAAGATGTTAAATAAATAAATAAATAAATAAATAAATAAATAAATAAATAAATAAAAGAACTGTGAAGGGTTTCAGATTTTACCCTACTTGCAAACTAACAAATTAGCCTGACACAGTTTCATGGATGCTGGCAGAAGACACAAGGTTTCCGGATGAAAGACAAAGGGCAATTTATTACTCAGGGCAATAGCATTTGTGCCAGAGTATCAGCATTTGTGCCTATTCCCTGGGATCCACTTCCCAGAGGGCGACGTGAAGAGGGTCAGGTGACACCTGCTCGTGTTGCATTCGAAGACAGAAACCCTGAGGGTCGGGAACTTGAATCTGTTATAATCATCAATGAGAAAATCTGTCTAGTCTTTGCTCTGGAGGAAAATATTATCTTTATTATATAGAAGAGTAAGCAAACCTACCCTTTGCTCGAGAGAAAGACTCTACCTCTATCTTGCAAGGCTGTTCACAATACAAACATGCTTGTAAAGACCGTATGAAACAAAACTAGTCAGAGTCTCTGCTTGTAAGATGTACAGAAACACAAGAGACCCAAGGAGAACTACCTCCCAAAAGCTATCATTAAAAGATAATAATAGAGTATAAATTTCCAAGCTAACAGAGATGGAAAAAGAGAATAATAAGAAAACATTTAATCATAAATTGCAAAAGCATTATGGCAAGGGAAAAAACTCTGATTCATAAGACTACATGCTGTACGATTAAAAGATAAAACTATAGGGATAGAAAGTAGGTCAGTGTTGGGGCTTCCTTGGTGGCGAAGTGGTTGGGAATCCGCCTGCCAATGCAGGGGACACGGGTTCAAGCCCTGGTCCGGGAAGATCCCACGTGCCGTGGAGCAACTAAGCCCGTGCGCCACGACTAAGCCTGTGCTCTGGAGCCTGTGAGCCACAATTAGTGACGCCCACGTGCCTAGAGCCTGTGCTCCACAAGAAGAGAAGCCACCGCAATGAGAAACCCACGCACCGCAACTAAGAGTAGCACCCATTCGCCACAACTAGAGAAGGCCTGTGTGCAGCAATGAAGACACGACACAGCCAACAATAAAAATAAATAAAATAAATAAATTTATTTAAAAAAAAAAGTAGATCAGTGTTTGCTAAGGCCTGTGGTGGGTGCAGAGGCATTACTACAAAGGAGCACGGAGGAAATTTGGGGGATAACAAAAAAGTTGTGCATCTCTATTGTAGTGTTGGTTACATGAGTGCGTACCTTTATCAAAATCCACTGAATGATACACTTAAAATTGGTAAATTTTACTTTTTGTAAATTGCATCTCAATAAAGCTAAAACAAAACAAAACAAAAACCAAAAAATAAAAAGAAGACAAGAAAGAAAGGAATAAAGAAAAGAAAATAGGTGGAAGAATAACAACAACAAAAAAGCAAACAGTAAGACAGTAGATTTAACCCCAAATATATCAGAATTACATGAAGTATAAATAGACTAAATGTTGCAAATAAATATAAGAAATAACAGACTGGGGGCTTCCCTGGTGGCGCAGTGGTTGAGAGTCCGCCTGCCGATGCAGGGGACACGGGTTCGTGCCCCGGTCCGGGAAGATCCCACATGCCGCAGAGCGGCTGGGCCCGTGAGCCGTGGCCGCTGAGCCTGCGCGTCCAGAGCCTGTGCTCCGCAACGGGAGAGGCCGCAACAGTGAGAGGCCCGCGTGCCGCAAAAAAAAAAAAAGA